ATTTAATTCTATATTCTCTACGCGATTCGTAATAGAGGTATAATATAAGTTTTCGATAAATACTATTAATAAGAAATACTCGACTAATAAGATATAGATATAATCTTTATATCTTTTTTATCGAAGTTTTCTAAATTAGTTAATATATAAGATTATTACTTCTTTAGCTATTACTCTTTATACTTTAAGTCTTACTTAAGTTTCTTATTTTCTTTAATAAGTTTTATAATATTAATACGATATCTATTACGTAAACCTCGAAGTCTATTATTAATTTCTCGCTTATAAAATAATTAATTATTACTATTACTTAGCTAAATAATAATTATTAATATCTTTATCTTAATATAAGCGATATTCTAATTAAATTATTTATTTTATTATTAAAATATCTTAATATTACGACTAGTAGTTCGAAAGCTCTCTATTAAAGTCTTTAATTTATTATATTAAATATTAGAAGTATTAATAGCGCTTTTTATAAAATTCTATAAATTAATAATAAATATAAAGATTATAATAAACTCTTCTTCGATAATATTTATAAGTTATACTTCGATATAATCTAAATTAAATTTAATAATATATCTTCTAAAGATAGAACGCTTTCTTTTACGTTATATACGAATAATATAGTAATATTTAAGATCTTCTTATCGAAGTTCTCGAGTTCTTCTAGATAATAATATATTTATAACTTATCTATAACGATTTAACTTTATATATTATCTAAATTTAAGAGTTAATAAGTTTATACTAATATTAAGTTAATAAGAAGTATAAAGAAGATTTAATCTAGAGTCTATTTCTTTTAATATATTAAAGATATTTATTTTCTTTAGATTCTTATTTAATTTAGTTAGATTAGCCTTTATATAAGTAAAAGACTTTCTTTTAAATAATCTTTTAAGTAGTAAGCTTCTTTAGCTATAGCTACTAACTTCTTAATAATATACTTTCTTCTTAATTATATATTTAATATAACTAATAAATAAATCGCTATATGCTTTAGAAGAAAGATAGATAATATTATATTAGAGACTTAATAATATATATAATAACTCTATATTATAGTATAAAGAGAATACTATCTATATAGAATTATTATAAGTATATAAACTTTATAGTAAGATAGAAAGATTAAAAGGTCTTAATACGCTAAGTCTAATTAGGCTATAATATAAGTAAGATTTATTTATACGTAATAGAAGATAGATAATTTAAGATATCTTAATAGAGTAGTAATTCTTATTATTCGATAACTTTTCCTTTATTTTAACTAATTAATCCTCTTATATAAGATCTTTATTATCGATAAAGAAGAGAGAATTCGATAGCTTAATAAACTTTTCTTTTCTATAGATAAGAAGTAAAACTTAGACGAGCTTTAATAAAGTTAATACTTACGTCTTAGAGGTAATTTATAAATCTTTAAATATATTTAATCGCATTATTATTAGCTATTATTAAAACTTTCTATTATATTCTTATAGCTCCTCGATCTTAATACTAACTTACTTTAAGCGTTATTAAGTCTTATTTTATTAATTTATTATCTTATTCTTCTTAGTCTTAAGATCGATATATTATTTAGCTATATCTCGAAATTAATCTTATTAATAGCGAAGATCGCGAAGTATAATAAAAAATTAATTAAGCTTTTTATCGGCTTAATTACGTAGTTAATTAATATTAATAATCTATTATAAATCTATAATAACTACGATATTCTCCGCTATATTATTAAATAGTAAGAATTATTATTAATTAAATATCTAAATAAAAAAATTATTAACTCGATTTATCTTACTTAATTATATATTAGAAATAATAATTTTAAAATAAAGATAAGAGAGTTATATTATTTCTCTCGATTCTTTAATATTATAAATATTAAATGAAAAAGAGAAAAGAAAAACTTCTTATAATATCCTTTATAAGGCTTTACTATAAATTCGAAAAATAATATTATATTTTATAGAGACTTTTTTCTCTAATTTATAAATTATTTAAGCTATTATAAAAACTATAAATAATCTAAATATCGTTTTTTTAAATACTTTTACTTCGCTTAAAGAGTTAGTTATATAATTATTAAGTTAAATAATAATTTCTTTAAATTTACTAGTCGTATAAATAAACTAATCTAATAATTACTTTATCTCTTTAACTAATTATAAGATTATTACGCTATCTTAATAAATACTCTTTATAACGTATTATCTATATAATAGATTTATCTAGAAATATAATAGCTTAACTTAATATCTTATTAAAGTCTCTATTAATAAATTTCTTTAATTTATCTATTAATTTAAATATAGTAAATAAGATAATCTAGTTATAGTATTAAGACTAATATAAATATAATATTAATATAAATATATTAAATAAGATAATTAAATATCGAATAATTATATAGATAGAAGATATTAAGTAATAGTAGATATCTTTATTAAGATACGCTAGACTCTAATAGATTATAGAACTAAATAATATATTAAGGGAGATATAGAGTACGCTCGTAATAGGCTAAGTTAGCCCGATAGCCCTTTCGCGCTTCTCTTATTAAAAATTTATATATAGAAGTTTTATACTTTAAAGTACTTAGCTTACGATATATATAGTTACTTTATAATTTCTTAAATTATAAAGCTCGCTTTACGCTTTTTAACGCTATAAAAATTATAAAGTTTAATCTACTATTAATAGATTAAATAAATATTTAAATATAATAGTTATAGTAGTTATATTAGACGCGTTTAAAATTAAATAATAATTCTTTCATCTATTTATATAACTATTCTTCTTTTATTATTCTATTAATTCTATTAATTTTACTAAGATAGATATAATCGTCTTCGATATCTCTTATCTAAAGATTACTTAATATTTAAGATATATATACTTCTTTATTTATCTCTTAAAGTCTCTATTAACGCTCTTAAGTTATCTCTTAGTAAATTCGCTATTATTAATAATCGAGGCCGTAGCTTAATAGCTATCTACTATTACTTATAAACGTATTAAAAAATCTTAAAAAGAGCTCGAATAAATACGTTTTTCTTTATATACTTCTTTTAAGTTAGTAATAATATCTTTTAATCTAATAATATTATCTTTTAAAACGCGTCTTTCTTCTCTATTTATTCTTTATTACTTTATTTTAAAGTTACTTAATATATATTAAATTCTAAATATTATTAAAAAGAAGCTTCTAAAAATATAATAATTATATTAGACGCGTTCGAGATCGAATAAATATATATTAGAGCGCGAGCTTTTTAGTAGTAAAAAGCTTATCGAGTATTAATTTTTAATTATTAAATTCTTAGAAAGACTCTTTAAAATCTCTTAAATCCTTCGAGAACTCTTTAAAAGCTTTTCGAGAGTTTATATCGAAAAGACTATTAAAGTAAGCTTAAAATTTAATTATTTTAATAATATTTAATTAATTTCAAGTTTACTTTAATAGTCTCTTCGATATAAGCTCTTAAAAAACCCTTAAAGAGCTTTAAAGAATTTAAGGAATTTTAAGAAATTTAATTCTAAGAATCGAGATATTATAATTTATTTAATATACTTAAAGAAAGACTCTCTAAAACCTCTCTAACCCTTCGAGGGCTCTTTAAGAGTTCTTCGAGAGCTTCTATCGAAGAGACTCTTCTTATAAGCTCGATAATTTAAGAAGTTAAGTAATAATCTTAGTTTTTAATATATCTTTACGAATACTCTATTAAATTTTATCTACGCTATACTATTTAAAAGCGTATAATTAACTCTATAAATCTATATACTTAATTTATTATTATATTTTTTATAAAAGAAAAGAAATTAAAAAAGATAGATTTAAGGATTTTAAAGTTCTTTTTTAACTTTCTCTTTTAAACGTACTCGTATATACTCGCTTTTAGCTTAGAAATAAAGAAATAAGATAAGTTTTAGCTTTAAAATTATGGAATCTAAGAATTTAATTAATTAACTTTATATTTATTATTAGAACTAGTATAGAGGTACGTTATATGGGTGAGATAGAATAGGATAATAAGGCTACCGAACTATGTATGTGAGCAGAAGACATGATATGGTAGGGGATGTCTCCGCTAAGGCCCGCTAGCCATAGGGCTGAGGGCTGAGTAGGGTACGCTCGTAACAGTACTCCCCCCTCTCGAAGAGCCATGGCCCCCATGGCTGGTAGACCGGAGATGCAGGCCCATTGCTCGCCTTGTATCTCCAAACATCCATAGTCCTTCGAAAGAACCATCGCTCGCTGAAATCCATAAAAACAAAGACTTTTGGTGTGTGCTGTGCCAGGCCAAATTAGTACCTTTCTCCGGCGGCGACGGCGACAGCGATATCGCGTCTCGGAGATTCCGCTAGCGCGTCGTCGATAGCACTTTATCGTAGCGTCAAGGGGCTCCCAATTTGATGAGGATCCATGAAGAATTGAATGGTAAATGACCGAAAAAGGATTTGCTATGCAATCGCCACCTGATATAGTGGAGAAGAAATCGATGAAATGATGCAATCTGATTGGTCGATGCCTCCCGAACCGAACCGAGCCGCAGGCGCTAAAACTCTAAATTAATATCAGATGATTCCGGTGTGAGTTTCTCCATGGGACGCCACATAGCCGATATCGATCGAGGCTATTAGCGACGACAGTGAGGTCCATAGGTGACGCACCATGGCTTCGGAGGACCTTCAGGCATGTGATAACAAGGGGAGCCTGATTGGTGGACCTGACATGAGGTGATTGTTCAGCAACATGAGCCTGAGGAATCGATTTCCGAATGTGAAAAAAATGAGGCCATTCTGAAGACATCGGATGGTTTCAATTCGTCCAAAAACACCATTTCCGAAGTATTGCCGGGCACATGCTGATTTCGACTGCATTTGCAGGGCTGCTGCGTCCTTGACTGCATTCCCCGCTACGTTCTCATGACCATATCGTTCGTGGGTCTGATGCGTCCATATAGCCATGTCTATCACATCTTCGATTATAGATAGCCTTGACAACTGAGTTCGAATGCTTCGTCGATATCCATGTCAGAGCGGGAGTATTTGCCATACTTCTGTGCATTGGCCCAGTTTTCACACCCTCGTTCGTATGCCTCATCGATATCTAAATCCTCGTTATCGCTCACGTTAGGACGGGTTACAATCGAGTATTTCCCTTTTTTGGCATCGGCCTCGGCCTTTGCTTTCGCATATTGTTCTGCAAACCTCTTTGCTTTCTTTTCGACTAGTCCCTCTGCAAATTATTAATAATCAAGCTGTTTCCTTATGATATACTCCTTTAGCTGAGGTATGGTCCAATCCCTTCCATATATAGTAAGTGCGTTACATAAACGAAGCTCTGATTTCTCTCGTAAATCACGTATGATATCAGTGTCTTTGAAATTGCTTTCGTGTTCGGCGTATATTATGAAGTCCCTATAGAATTTAAGGAAGGGCTGACTCCCTTGGCTTATTCTACTGTAAGTACGCTGATGCGTCTGTCGAATAATGGACAACGGTACTTCGTATATGTTGCTTAGATGATCCAGGAGGACGTCGGTTATAGGATACGAGCGATATCGTCGTCTGGTAGACATATGGTGACTGGCCTTCCCTTCAAGTCTCGCTACAACGTAGGCAATTTTGAAAGCATCGGTGAGGAAATGATCGCCATTGTGGGTAAGCTTGTCTTGGATTCTCATTTTCCAGTCATCAAATGGTACTGAATTAGTGCCCGTGAAGATAGGTGGATCCGGTAGCCTCGGGCTGAGTGGCTGTCTGACTGGCTGTGGCGAGATTGGTCGATTTGCTCTCAGTGCTTGAAAGTCTCGTGGTTTAGGTGGAGGTGGGGACGGGGGTGGAAGGGCAGAGATGCCAGCCGAGTTTTGGCCCTGCGTCTCCTCTCGCAGCCCTGGTATCTCCTGTGAAGGAGAAGAAGCTGGGATGCCAGGCGGATTTTGGCTACGCGTCTCCTCCGGTTGACTTGATATCTCACGATATCGATGGTAAAGGTCCTCAGCAGATAGAGAACGCTGCACCCGTGGCATGTGGAGTGTCGGCGAGTTGGGAGGTGAATATCTTCTATGTAGGTCGTCGTACGTAAGGTAGGGATGGCCGCGGTATGTAGGTGATCGGCGGTGCGGAGGGAGGTATCTTGGTGTTGATGTAGGTGGATTTGAGTCGGAATTCATGATGTGTTGAATGTAGGTAAAATTGAGCGGAGAGGTCTCTGGAATCCTTGGTGTTATACACACAGACAGAGGTAGAGATCGGTGACGTCTCTTCAATTGGTTTCTGTGTTTTGGTGTTGAGATTTCGATTTTGGCTGTGGCTTCTCGGAGGTCTGGCACACTTGTTTCTTGACCAATCAGGTCGCCGTGCAGACCCTGAATATTTCAAATGTGACTCTATCGAATGGTGTCACTCCGCCTAGGGGGGTTTGTTTCGTGATTATGGAGTTGTTGCGGGGGCGGGTGGGCGGAGAACGATATCTTGTTTTTGATGTAGGGGACTCGTTTTTTGAAGGATTAGGCTATCGTTGATGATGTAGGTCGTCTGATGTAGGTTCTTTCGAATGATTTATGTGAGGTTTTCTGTATGGTAGAAATACCTAATAGCGTTTTCTTTATTAGGCTCGGTCGCTTGCTCCGAGCAGAAAGTGAAAAACCCGTCAGTTCTCTTCGCCGGGGGGGGTACGAAGGAGCCTTATTATAATGTCAGGACCAGCATAGAGGTACGTCATATGGGTGAGGTAGAATAGGATAATAAGGCTACCGAACTATGTATGTGGGCAGGAGGCATGATATGATAGGGGATGTCTCCGCCAAGGCCCGCTAGCCATAGGGCTGAGGGCTGAGTAGGGTACGCTCGTAACATTTATAATTATCGAATATTTTATAATTTTAATCTTAAGTAATAAGAAAGTAAGCTTTTTAATAATTCTTTTATCTATTTATATTATTATTCTTCTTTTATTATTCTATTAATTCTACTAATTCTATTAATATAAATATATTTATTCTCGATACTCTCGTACTTAGTTAAATAAGAGAAGAATTTATAATAGACGAATACGAAGAATATTATAAAGAATATTACGAAGATAGTTATTAGTAGTAATAATATAATAAATCTACTCTCTACGATCTTATATTAATTTACTTAATTAATATAAGAGAAGTTACTATAGTAGACGAATATAAAGAATATTACGAAGAAATTAAGTAATAATAAAATTCTTAATATTAAGAATAGACTCAGCTCTCTAAGATTCTACGTTATATACTTTTTATAATTTTATATTAAATTATTACTTAATAAGCGAAGAATATTACTATAACTTAGTTTATTATCTCTATTATATTAAGAAGTAAGAGAAGAATCTATAATAGACGAATATAAAGAATACTACGAAGAATATTACGAAGATAGTTATTAGTAGTAATAATATAATAAATCTACTCTCTACGATCTTATATTAATCTACTTAGTTAATATAAGAGAAGTTACTATAGTAAACGAATACGAAGAATACTATAAAGAAATTAAGTAATAATAAGATTATTATCGTTAAGAATACGACTTAGCTCTTTAAGATTTTACGTTATATTAATTATTTACTTAATTAATTACTTAACTAGATACTTAATCTAATATTCTCTTTATAAGAGAAGAAATAAGAGAAGAAACTATAATAGATAAATGCGAAGAATACTATAAAGAAATTAAGCGATAATAGAATTATTATCGTTAAGAATACGACTTAGCTCTCTAAGATTCTACGTTATATTAGTTATTTACTTAATTAATTACTTAGCTAGCTACTTAATCTAATACTCTCTCTTATTAATCGAAAAGATATAATATAATATAAAATATTAATTTATTATATTATACTCTAATATAATATAAGTTATTAAGATTTATAAAATCTTATATCTAATATAATATAAGATCTTAGCGATATATATTACGATATAATATATCTATAAGATTATATTATAATATAATATATATATAAAATATCTTAATTAAAATTTCTATATTTAGAAGTAGCTATTCTAATTATTATTCTAATTAATAACTATATTAAATTAATAAAATATAAAATTAAATAAAATTATATTTTATTACTTTATATATATAAAAGAAAGCGAGCTATATCTACTAATAATAAGAAAAGCTTATCTTTCTCTAATACTAGTCGCGCGAAATTCGTCGATACTTTATAATTAAAGTTATCGATAATAATTTTATATATCTATTATATATTTTCGATATCGCTATCTAATATAAAATTATATATATTATAATTATAATCTTTCTATTAAATCGTTAATCTAGAAAAATTAATATATTTTTTAATATTCTCTTAAAAGTATCGTAGCTTAATATAATAAGTTATATTTCTTTAAGCTATCTTCTCGCGATATATAAAAAAAGATTAGATATAGAAAGTATATAAAAGTATATTTAATAATTCTAGAATAAATTAATAATATTTATAATAATAATTAGAATTAAGAATTAGATATACTCGAATAAAAGATAACTTTACGCTATTTATATAATAGCGATAATAATAATTAAGATTAAAATATTAATTTAGATAATATAACTTTCGTAGTACGCTTTTTATTATTATACGCTAGATTAATTATATATAAATAAAGATTTATAATTTTATCTTTTAAATATAATTATATTTAATATTTTAAAATTTTTATAATAGCTTAATACTTATTAGCTAGCGCGTTAATATTATTATATCTAAGCTATAATAATATTTATTATTAAGTTCTATATTATACTCTTAAATAGCTTAAAAGATAAAATCTACTTAATTATTAGCGCGTATAATAAGATTATTCTTAATACTTATATTTTATTTAGCTTCGATATTATCTATTTTCTCTTAATTCGAACTCTTATCTTTATTTATATATATAATAATTCGCGTAATAAATAAAACTTTAAATTTCTTCGCAATTACGCTCGCGTATTTTTTATATATAATATTATTAAAATATAAGTTTACTAGAATAATAACTAGAACTAGAAGTTATTTATTATTTATTTATTATATTTTATCTAATTTACTTAAAAATTTACTTCTATTATAATAATAATATATTAATATATTTAACTTTACGCTTTTTAATAATTATAATATAATTAATAGTTAAGATATCGATTTTCTTTACTTTTTTAACTAATTTCTTCTTAAATATAAATATATTTATTCGCTATCGCGATCTCTTAATATTTTTATTTTAATTAAACTTATTCTTCGCTTTTTATTTTAATTAAAAATTTAATTATTATTTAATTAACCTATATTAAAACTCTTTAATATTATTATTATTATTATTATTTAATACTTATTATAATAAATTATTAAACTTAATCTCTTCTACTTTAATTATTATAAAAAGATAAATTAATAGATATATATAAAAGAATTAAAGAACTTATATAAATATCTATAAATACTAAGCTATTCTTAATTTTAATTAAAGTTTATTTTATTAAAAAGTACGTTAATTCTAGTAAGTATCGATATTAGAAATAAAGAGAATATATATTACGCGTTATTATAGATATATTATTATAGAGTTTAATTTAAAGAATAATTATTTCTATAAAGATAATAAGACTTAAAAATAAGAAAGTAAGAATAAAATATATAAAAATTTTAATAAGTTATAGTAGTTTAGCGCTAGTTAAATTAGATAAAAATAATTACTTACTAACTCGCTCTTTTAAATCTTTTATCTTTTAATCTATATAAACTATAATAATAATTATAATTATTATAAAAGTAATTAAGATTATATTAGATAATAGCGCTTAATAAGCGTAATTCGCTTAAATTTAAATCTTTAAAATTAAAGAGAAAATATTTTATTAATATTTAATTTAAGCTAGACGATATAAAGTAATCTAAAAATTTAATATACGCGATAGATATCTAAGCTTTTCTTCCCTTCTTCTTTTTCTCTAAGACTTTTTTTTTATATTAATCCTTCTTATTATTAAACTATCTTCTTTATATATTAAACTTCTATTTAAATAATCTAATATTATTATAATTATATTAAAAGTATAATATAGCTATTAAGTTATATATTTATTCTTTATCTTTTAATAACTTTAAATTAATATATAGATAAATCGCGCGAAGAGCTTAACTTATATATACTTAATTTATTATTAATAGCTTTTTAAAAAAGTTAATACTATTCTAGAGTACTAGATATAGCGTTAAAATAAAGTCTTTATTAGATATTACTATCGCTTTAATTACTATCGCTATTACTTTAATAAATATTATCTTTACTTTAATAGATATTATCTCTACTTTAATAATATTAAAATATTAATAAAAACTAGATAATATATTTTTCTAATTATTATTATATTTATTATATATAATTAATATAAGCTATAGCTCGAGCTTTACGCGAGATTTATTATTATTAAAAATTAATTAATTTTATAATTCTAAAACTCTTCTTCTAATATCTAGTTTATTAGATTATATTTAATTAAAATCTATTAAAATACTATTATATTTAAAGATTCGCTTTTAAAGTATTATATAAGATAATAAAAGTCTTTCTAATTCGTTAATTTAAGAGTAAATTTTTCGTTATTATACTTTATAATTAGCTCTAATAATTTCTATTTAAATAGATATTTATCTTTATATAATATATAAAAAGCGAGTTATATTATAGAAAAAGAATTTAAATCTTATAATTATCTTAGCTAAGTTATTTAAATTAAAGATAAAAATAAACTTATCTTTATATAATTTAGTTAATTTATTAATCGATTATTATATATATAATTATAAGATATAATTATATATTATTAATTACTCGAATAATTATAAAAAGTATAAAAGAAATAAAATTATATAATTAAGTACTTATAAACTTTTCTCTTCTAAGTATTTATTTTAATTTAGAGTTTAATCGCTATCTAATTAAAAAAAGATAAGATATAAAAAGTATATAAAAGTATATTTAATAATTTTAGAATAAATTAATAATATCTATAATAATAATTAAAATTAAGAATTAGATATACTTAAATAAGAGATAATTTTATATTATTTATATAATAATAAGAGTAATAATTAAGATTAAAGTTTAACTTAGATAGCGTAGCTTTTATAATAAACTTT